TTAACGAAAAGGTGCACGAGTTCTATTTGCTTCCGCCATTTTCTGAATCTCTTCCTTTTTGCGTATGGCATCACCACGCCCCTTGACAGCATCCACTAATTCGGAACTGAATTTGAAAGCCATATTTCGACCCAGACGTTTTCGGGATGCCGCTGCTAACCAACGAATGGCAAGTGCTCTTCCTTGTGGCTTTTTTATTTCAATGGGAACTTGATGAGTCGATCCGCTCACGCGTCTCGCTTTTACTACTATCTTGGGAGTTACCTGAAGTATTGCTTCACGTAAAACGGATAGTGGATTTTTTTCTGTCTTTTGTTGAATCCTTTTCATAGCTTGATAGAAAATTCGATAAGCCAATAATTTTTTTCCGTGTTTCATAATATGGTTAATCAACCTGTTAACTACTAGATTACGATAAATTGGATCGGATTTTTCGATTTTCTTTTCTGCAGTACCTCTTCTATTCCACCAAAAAGTTTTCTATTAGTTAAAAATGATCATATGTAAAATCAGAACAAGTGATTGCGGAGATCCTCGCGGGAACATATACTTTTAATTTGAAAGAGAGGGTTCGAAAACATATTTATTCTGACTCAGAAGGGGAAATGCATTGGAGTACCGATGTGTACCATGCATCAGAATTTATGGATAGTAATGTACATATCTTACCAAAAACAAGTCATTTATGGATATTGTCAGGAAAGTCGTGCAGGTCTAATACAATCCATTTTTTACTTCACAAGGATCAAGATCAAATTACCATGGATTCACTTTCGAATGGAAAAACAAATATTTCGAATCTTGTAGAAAGGAATAATCAAGTAAAACATAAATTCTTTGGTTTCCATACTTTTGGTACAAAAGAAAAGGGGATCCACGATTATTCAATATTTAATCCAATCATATATATGGATTATTCTTATTTAATGTATCCCGCTATTTTTCACGATATTTTTTATTTCTTGGCGAAAAGGCAAAGAAATCAATTTCTTATTCCATTTCCATTCCAATCGATTCAAGAACGAAAGAACGAACTAATGTCCCCTTCAGGTGTCTCCATTGAAATACCTATCAATGGTATTTTTCCTAGAAATAGTATTTTTGCTTATTTCGATCATCCTCAACCCATTTTTCAAAAAGAAGATTTCATTGAGTATCGAGGAAGAAAAAAATTAAAGCCAAACTATCCAATTCAAGTAGGTCCCTTTTTTTTTATTCTCGAAGAAGTGCATATTTTACCCCAATCTTCTTCCCTAATGGTACGGAATAATAGTCTTGTTGGAAGAGGAACACCAATCACTTTCAATATAAGAAGTAGAGTAGGCGGATTGGTCCGATTAGAAAAGAAAAAAAAAAAGAATTAAAAATATTTTCTGGGAATATCCATTTTCCCAGAGAGATTGATAAGATATCAAGACACAGTCCCATCTTTATACCACCCGGAACGGTAAAAAAAATGCAAGGAATCGAAAAAAAATAAAGATGGGATCTATGTCCAACGGATCCCAACTACAAAAAAAAAATGCAAGGAATAAAAAAAATTAAAGATGGGATCTATGTCCAATGGATCCCAACTACCAAAAAAAAAGAAAAAAAAATTGTTTTGGTTCGACCTGTTATTTTATATGAAATACCGGACACTATCCCTTTTGTAAAACTTTTTCCCCAAGATCTATTCCAGGAAAAGGATAATCTGGAACTAAAAGTTGTCAATTCTATTGGAAAATCCATTCGGGAAATTTCCGACACAAGGATTCCATTCCTTCGGACTTGTTTAGTCTTCCATTGGGATGACGGCAAAAAAAGTTCTTCGATTGAGGAGGCCCCCGCTTCCTTTATTGAAGTAAGTACAAATGGTTTGATTGAGTATTTTCTAAGAATTGACTTAGTAAAATCGAATACTTCATATATCAGAAAAAGAAATGACCCATCTGGTTTAGGATTGATTGGGGATAATAAATCGGATTGAATCAATCCATTTTTTTCTATTCATTCCAAGGGAAACATTCAACAATCACTTAGCCAAAATCACGGAACTATTCGTATGTTGTTGAATAGAAATCAAGAATGCCGATCTTGGATAATTTTGTCATCATCTAATTGTTTTCAAATGAGACCATTCAACAATGTCAAATCTCACAATGGGATAAAAAAAGATCCTATAATTTCAATTAAGAAGAATAATAATTCGTTCGGCCCTTTAAAAATAGTTGCAAATTTATATTCACTTTATCATTTAATAACTCATAATCAGATCTCAATAATAAAAATTTTGCAACTTGACAAATTAAAGGGAATTTTTCAAGTAATGAAATATTATTTCATGGACGAAAATGAGAAAATTTGTAAACCCGATCTATACAGTAATATCGTTTTGAATCCATTCCATTTAAATTGGTTTTTTCTCCATCATTTTTCTTGTGAAAAAACGTTTACAATAATAAGTCTTGGACAATTTATTTGTGAAAATATATGTATAGCTCAAATGAAAAATGGACCACACCTAAAACTAAAATTGGGTCAAGTTATAACAGTTCAAATGGATTCTGTAATAATAAGATCGGCTAATCCTTATTTGGCGACTCCAAAATCAACCATTCACGGCCATTATGGGGAGATACTTTCTCAAGGAGATATTTTAGTTACATTCCTATATGAAAAATCGAGATCCAGTGATATAACACAAGGTCTTCCAAAAGTGGAAGAGATATTCGAAATACGTTCGATTGCTTCAATATCCATGAATCTAAAAAAACGAATTGATGCTTGGAACGAGTGTATAACAAAAATTCTCGGCATTCCTTGGGGATTCTTGATTGGTGCTGAGCTAACTATAGCTCAAAGTCGTATTTCTTTGGTTAATAAAATCCAAAAGGTTTATCGATCCCAGGGAGTACACATCGATAATAGACATATCGAGATTATTGTGCGTCAAATAACATCCAAAGTCTTGGTTTCAGAAGATGGAATGTCTAATGTATTTTTACCTGGCTAACTAATTGGATTATTGCGAGCAGAACGAACGGGGCGTGCCTTGGAAGAAGCCATTTGTTACCGAGCTTTATTATTGGGAGTAACAAAAACATCTCTGAATACTCAAAGTTTCATATCCGAAGCGAGTTTTCAAGAAACTGCTAGAGTTTTAGCAAAATCCGTTCTTCGGGGTCGTATTGATTGGTTGAAAGGTCTTAAAGAGAATGTTGTTTTAGGGGGAATGATACCCGTTGGTACCGGATTCAAAAGAATAATGCACCATTCACGGTCAAGGCAACATAACAAGATTAGCCGGAAAAAAAATTTATTCGAAGTAGAAATTAGAAATCTTTTGTTCCATCACAGAAAATTATTTAATTTTTCTCATTTCATAGAATTTATGTGATACATTCGAAATATAGGATTAAATATAGGATTAAATGCTTCCTAACAGCGGATTCGACTCATCCATCCCCTGAAATCTTTAAATGCAGTCATTGGATTTGGTAATTAAAGTATATTAAAAAATAATAAGAAATAGAAATCAAAGAATGGTCTGATTCTATATTAACTGTCGATCGTCTATAAAAGAGAAGGTTCCATCGGAACAATTATTTATTAGGATACTCGGTCTCTCTTTTTTTTTCATTTTTTTAAACAAAGTGTGGGGATAAATGACAAAAAGATATTGGAACATAACTTTGGAAGAGATGCTGAAAGCTGGGGTTCATTTTGGCCATGAGACTAGGAAATGGAATCCTCGAATGGCACCTTTTATATCGGCAAAACGTAAAGGTAATCATATTACAAATCTTACTAAAATTGCTCGTTTTTTATCAGAAGCTTGTGATTTGGCTTTTGATGCAGCAAGCAAAGGAAAACAATTTTTAATTGTTGGTACCAAAAGAAAAGTTGCCTATTCAGTAAGACGGACTGCAATAAGAGCTCGATGTCATTATGTTAACAAAAAATGGCTCGGAGGTATGTTAACGAATTGGTATACTATAGAAACGAGACTTCGTAAGTTCAGGGACTTGAGAACGGAGCAAAAGACGGGGAAACTGAACTCTCTTCCAAAAAGAGATGTCGCTATATTGAAGAGGCAATTATCTCATTTGGAAACATATCTAGGCGGTATAAAATATATGACAGGGTTACCTGATATTGTAATAATCCTTGATCAGGAAGAAGAATATAAGGCTCTTTAAGAATGTATCACTTTGGGAATTCCAACGATTTGTGTAATCAATACAAATTGTAACCCCGATCTTGCGGATTTGCCGATTCCGGCTAATGATGATACTATGGCTTCCATCGGATTCATTCTTAACAAATTAGTTTTTGCAATTTGTGAGGGTCGTTCTAGCTAGATACAAAATTATTGATTAATAATAAGATAAATCCATTTTTAGATTTGGTTGGGCGGTGATAAATTTTTGGAATTGGTTATTATAGCATTACAAAATTGTGTAAAAAGAAATATTTTTGGATTAGTAGGTATTCAAAATCGAAAATCCAAGTAAAATAAGGAAATGGTTGAATCAAAATAATTCCCTTTCAAGTTATCTTTTTTTATTTTAGAGGGCAATATGAATGTTCTATTATGTTACATCAACACATTAAACAGATTCTATGATATATCTTCTGTGGAAGTAGGTCAACATTTCTATTGGCAAATAGGGGATTTTTAAGTGCATGCTCAAGTACTTATTACCTCTTGGGTTGTAATAGCTATCTTATTAATTTCAACCATTCTAGTTGTTAGAAATCCACAAACTATTCCCACATCTGGTCAGAATTTCTTTGAACATGTCCTTGAATTCATTTGAGACGTGAGCAAAACTCAGATTGGAGAAGAATATGGTCCATGGGTTCCGTTTATTGGAACTCTGTTTCTATTTATTTTTGTTTCGAATTGGTTAGGGGCACTTTTGCCTTGGAAAATTATAAAGTTACCTCATGGAGAGTTAGTTGCACCCACAAATGATATAAACACTACTGTTGCATTAGCTTTACTTACGTCAGTAGCCTATTTCTATGCGGGTATTTCAAAAAAAGGATTGGCCTATTTTGGTAAATACATCCAACCAACGCCAATCCTTTTACCAATTAACATCTTAGAAGATTTCACAAAACCCTTATCGCTTAGTTTTCGACTTTTCGGAAATATATTAGCGGATGAATTAGTAGTGGTTGTTCTTGTTTCGTTAGTACCTTTAGTAGTTCCTATCCCTGTTATGTTCCTTGGATTATTTACAAGCGGTATTCAAGCTCTTATTTTCGCTACTTTAGCTGCGGCGTATATAGGTGAATCCATGGAAGGGCATCATTGACTAGTTATCCAAATATGATTTTAGACCGCGACTGGCTCGCGATAATCTACTTAAGGAACATTAATAAAATTAAGGAACATAAATAAAAAAATCCAAAGAAATTATGAAAAGTTTTCATAACAATCAAAAAGTATAAAGAAAATGAAAACACTTACCAGGGAATTCAACAAAAAATAGAAATTCAATTAAAATAAAGGGTGGGGGGTCGAACTAGACATATATATAATCTAATCGTTATAAGACAACTGGGGGATTTCCAAGAATGATTCATTGAATCGAAGATACAATGAATTGGTTTATGATATGGAACAAACACATGTATATGTCATAGTAGATATTCATTAGTTATATATGACTATATATCTCAATTTGTCCTGCTACTACTCTAAATTTAGGTAGGGATTCAAAAAAAAGAGCTCTTCCATCTCTTGGAATTGTGAATGGAATATAAAATGACTGGAAAAATGAAATAAAAAGAAAAAGAAAGGTTTAAACGAAATGTAAGATAAGACCCCAAATTGTATGTATTCACAAAAAACGACAAGGGTAGAAACGAAAAAAGTAAATATCGAAGTAATTGAGATAATTCAATCCAAATTCTTCAGTTTGAAATTTGGAATTACACTTCGACTAGATAAAGAGAAATAGGACGAATGAAATAATTAAGTCATATATTTTTTGTTGATTATATTATTAACTATTTCTTTATTTTATTTTATTTTGACATAGGAGAAACTTATCATGAATCCACTGATTGTTGCTGCTTCTGTTATCGCTGCTGGGTTGGCCGTCGGGCTTGCTTCTATTGGACCTGGAGTTGGTCAAGGCACAGCTGCAGGGCAAGCTGTAGAAGGGATTGCGAGACAACCGGAAGCAGAGGACAAAATACGGGGTACTTTATTACTTAGTCTGGCTTTTATGGAAGCTTTAACTATTTATGGGCTGGTTGTAGCATTAGCGCTTTTATTTTCCAATCCTTTTGTTTAATTTAATATTTATTCAAAAAAATAGATATTGTTTTTTTTTCATGGATTTTCGTTGTTGCTCTTGCTAATTCTATTTCGATTTTACTCTTACAATTTTTTTCATTCGGATTAACATACTGATTTCCCTTCTTCCGTCCCTTTCTTTAGTCCAATGACCCCCTTTTTATTTAGAAAGTGTTGAAAACAACTAAGTATTTTGCAATTTACATACGAACTAGTATTTATTTCTAAGAAGTATCACTCCTTATAGGGAATCTTTCAATTGACTAACCAATTACAAATATAGAATAGTCTTCTTAGTATCTTTTGATTCTTACTAATATTCATTATTAGTAAGAATCAAAATAGAAAGAATAAGTAAATATATTCATATTAAATAATTCGATTATAGAATAAACTATTATATACAAAAACGAATAAAAAAACTTGGAATCGTAGAAAGAAATTTAGTCTATCCATAAGAGGAGATGCGATCATATGAAAAATATAACCGATTCTTTTCTTTGCTTCATTTCCTGGCCATCCGCCGGAAGTTTCGGGTTTGATACCGATATTTTAGCAACAAATCTAATAAATCTAAGTGCAGTCCTAGGTGTATTGATTTTTTTTGGAAAGGGAGTGTGTGCGAGTTGTTTATTTCAAAGAATAGATTGGATCCAACCAACTGCACTTTTTTTGTTATAACTAGGAAAATGTGCATGATCCGGCGAATGACTTCTTACGAAATAACGAAAAAAATAGTTCAGAACCATAGCATTTCGCGATTCAGTGGTAAATCTACTTTGATTCTCTATCAACCAAGAATTTGGGAACATTACCATGGTTAAAGCTAACGAGTTTGAAGTTTCGATGCAGTCTAGTATTCTTTCTACCACTATGTTAATAGGGAAATTCTAATTTTTTCGATATAGAACACTCATGTCGATAAAATGACTTGAATTCTCTATATGATGAAAGCTTCTATAAATACGGATACCCCTAATACAGGAGGCTGCAGTGGGGAATTTTCCGCAATGGGCGAAAGCCTGACGGGACAATGCCGCGTGGAGGTAGAGGCCCTCGGGTCATGAACTTCTTTTCCCGGAGAAGAAAAAAGGACGGTATTCGGGGAATAAGCATCGGCTAACTCTGTGCCAGCAGCCGCGGTAAGACAGAGGATGCAAGCGTTATCCGGAATGATTGGGCGTAAAGCGTCTGTAGGTGGCTTTTTAAGTTCGCTGTCAAATCCCAGGGCTCAACCCTGGACAGGTGGTGAAAACTACTAAGCTAGAGTACGGTAGGGGCAGAGGGAATTTCCGGTGGAGCGATGAAATGCATAGAGATCGGAAGGAACCCCAACAGCGAAAGTACTCTGCTGGGCCGACACTGACACTGAGAGACAAAAGCTAGGGGAGCAAATGGGATTAGAGACCCTAGTAGTCCTAGCCGTAAACGATGGATACTAAGTGGATGTGCGTATCCACCCGTGCAACGCTGTAGCTAACGCGTTAAGTATCCCGCCTGGGGAGTACGTTCGCAAGAATGAAACTCAAAGGAATTGACGGGGGGCCGCACAAGCGGTGGAGCATGTGGTTTAATTTGATGCAAAGCGAAGAACCTTACCAGGGTTTGACATGCGCGAATCCTCTTGAAAGAGAAGAAGTGCCTTCGGGAATGCGACACAGGTGGTGCATGGCTGTCGTCAGCTCGTGCCGTAAGGATCTAAGAGTCGGACAATTAAATACTCAAGTGCAAAAAAAAGTAACTTGTGGGAACCGAGAACTCGACCTTGAAATTACAAAACTTCCAAGTCCTTATCTTTATAGAGACGCTAAAATTGTTGCAGAATTTTTAAGCGAACTATTACGGAATCGAGTTTCGTTTCATAAAGCAATGCAAAAAGGTATTGAATTAGCTGAACAGGCAGATACAAAAGGAGTTCAAATAAAAATTGTGGGACGTATGGAAGGAAAAGAAATTGCACGTGTCGAATGGACGAGAGAAGGTAGGGTTCCTCTACAAACCATTCGAGCTCCCATGGATTTTTGTTCCGTTCCACTTGTAACTTTGTTTGGGGTATTCGGAGTCAAAATTTGGATATTTCAAAACTTCTAAACAACGACTAATCAACTTTCCCTTATAACGTTCCATCTTTAAAAAAAATGACAATTTGAAATACTTTACGTTGAAGAAATCCCACAATTTGGGAGATTGAATAAAAAAAATTAATGAATCATTTTAGAATGAAGGAGTTGCTATGCTTAGTGTGTGACTCGTTGGTTTTTTTTTAGTGTTTCAATTTCTACAAAAATTCGTAGAATTCATTACTATAAAAAACCTACTCATCGCTTCCCATTATCTGGATAGAAAGAACTGCCGAAAATCGAAAATAAAAATAAGGATCTATGTGGTGATATAATTATAGCAACTGAAATAAAAAAAAAATAAAATTATTAGTTGTAAAGCAATAAGAATATACAGATAAATGAAGGGGTGAAAGAAAGCTAGAAAAAGGATATTAATGATATAGAATTCTACTATGTAAAGGTCTATTGGTCATCTCATAAAAAGTAGTGTAATAAAGCGACAATATTCAAAATTCATCCATATATGGATGAATATTAGACTAAACGAATAAAGAGCCACGAATCAAGAAAACTGAGAAGGTTGATTCAACAAAAAAGAATTAAAAAAAACAAAATCTTATTAATCTTATTAAAGCGGCTCCATTGTAGAATTTAGACCTAACCATAAATCGAAAAGCGATGGGAATGACGGAACCTGTGAATACAAAAGATTCTATGAAAATTATAAATCTTACTGATTCATTAGATGGGATGGCGGAAGAAACTAAAAATTCATGGTTTTTTGAGGAGTTGTGGACGAACCCAACATTACATTTTCAATTTATAATCAGAAAGTCAATATTCGCCCGCGAAAATCCCGCGATTCTATTTCTATTTTAGAAAAAATATGTATATTAGTGTATATTATTTTAATTATTATTCTTTTTCCGGTTCCAGATTTTTCAATCGATTTATTTGCGAGGAGCCGTATGAGGTGAAAATCTCATGTACGGTTCTGTAATAGAGATGGAATTGAGAAATAACCATCAACTATAACCCAAAAAGAACGAGATTCCGCAAACATCATAGAGGGAAATTAAAAGGAAACGCCTCTCGCGGTAATAAAATTTGCTTCGGAAAATATGCTCTTCAGGCACTTGAGCCCGCTTGGCTCACATCTAGACAACTAGAAGCGGGTTGACAGGCAATGTCACGAAATGTTCGCCGGGGTGGACAAATATGGGTCCGCATATTTCCAGACAAACCAGTTACAGTAAGACCTACCGAAACGCGTATGGGTTCGGGAAAAGGATCGCCTGAATATTGGGTAGCTGTTGTTAAACCCGAAAAAATACTTTATGAAATGGGAGGGGTCCCAGAAAATATCGCTAGAAAGGCGATTTCAATAGCGGCATCCAAAATGCCTATACGAACTCAATTCATTTTTTCCAAATAATCATTAGAACGAATGTTAGTATGAAAAAAGGAAATTCTCCGTTTCTTTTTTTTTTAACACACAATATTTTTTTTATTTCAACTTTTTGACTGAAAGATAAGAAAAAAGGATATGATTCAACCTCAAACCTATTTAAATGTAGCCGATAATAGCGGAGCGCGTTAATTGATGTGTATTAGAATCATAGGAGCTAGTAATCGACGATATGCTTATATGGGTGACATTATTGTCGTTGTAATCAAAAAAGCAGTCCCAAATTCATCGTTAGAAAGATCTCAAGTCATCAGAGCTGTAATTGTACGTACCTCTAAAGAACTAAAACGTCGTAATGGTCTCATAATCAAATATGATGATAATGCAGCGTTCTCATTGATAAACAGGGAAATCCAAAAGGAACTCGAATTTTTTCCGCAATAGCCCGAGAATTGAGACAGTTAAATTTTACTAAAATAATTTCACTCGCACCCGAGGTGCTATAATCTGATATAATAAGTTATACTTGATATTTGATAGAGTATCCCCATGAATCGGTAGTAGGATTTATATATATATTATATAAATATACAGGGGATCCATACATAAATATCCATGAACAGGATATATGGTCCATATACACACATAGACCTAAGGATACATACATCAAGGGGTATTTTTTGGAGATTCCATGTACTAATTCATGATTTAACATGTACAGAATAAAAGCCTTTCATTTTCTTATTTTCGAGAAAAATATTAAAATATAAATGAAATATATACTCTCTTCAACCGGGTTATTCGACTTCTTATAAATAAATAAATAAAAAACAGCTTCGTTATCTTAGAAAGAAAACCCTATTCTCTTCCACCTAATAGCATAAAAAAACATAATTACAGGAGGCTATCATGAACAAAGATATGATCGGAAATATGTTCACATTGTTACGCAATGCGGACATGAATAGAAAAAGAATTATTCCAATACCGTTCACTAAGGTGAACGAAAACATTGTTCAAATTCTTTTACGACAGGGTTTTCTTGAAAACGTCAGAAAACATCGAGAAAGCAACAAATACTTTTTAGTTTTAACTCTAAAGTATAGAAGAAATAATAAAGGATCATATCTTTTTAAAAGTTGTTTAAATTTTAAACAGATTAGTACGCCCGGTCTACGAATATATTCTAACTATCCCAAAATCCCAAAAGTTTTGGGAGGAATACGGATTGTAATTCTTTCTACTTCTAGGGGTATAATCACCGACCGACAGGCTCGATTAGAAAAAATAGGAAGTGAGATAATATGCTTAATATGGTAAAATTACTTATTCCGATTACGAAACACGCAGACGATTTTATGGAAGTCATGAAAAAAGAATTTCAGGACGACGACTCCAAATTTATAGTTGGAGACCCAGTAGAACCCTCCGCAGAATTCTATTTTATCCGAATGTATTCGCAATATAATCGAAGAGAAACACGAACTTTATTGCAAGTAGATGCGGAAAGGGAAGAAAATAACGAAGACGGTATGATGGTTTATTTTTCCGAGAATGAGAAGACTTCCAACAACACGAATATTCAGAAAAAGACAAAAATTGTCCCCCCGGTGGCGGAAAGAGGTCTTGTAAATATTCTTTTCGATTATCAAAAATGAAATAGGCCTTTGCGATATATAAAAAATGATCACTTCGAGCGAGTTGTAAGAGATGAAAATTCACAAATTTTTTTTCAAGCATGTGAAAGTGATGGGAAAAAAACGAATATCTTTCACGTATCCACCTCATTTATCTACTTTTCTGAACATCATGGGAAAAAAAATGGATCTCTTCAGAACAGAGAAAACCTCCAATAATGATAATGAATTGTATAATTCGTGGATCTCCCGTAATAAAGAAAAAAAAATCAACTAAGCAAGGAATTATTTCAAAGGGCAAAAATTCTAGATAAGAAAATTAAGAAAGGTAAGAAATTTAATCTTGTGGATGTATTAGAAAATCGAGTTCGATTATCGGATGATAGGAGTCGAAAAAAATACTTACCTAAAAAATATGATCCTTTCTTGAATGGACCCGCTCGTGGAGAAATCCAAAAAAGTTTTTCTAAAAAGAAAACTTTAGAATCAAACTCCATATTGATAAATAGGATTCATGGTCTCCTTCTTTGTATGAATACCAATTCTCCAGAATTGGAACAGAAAATAGATAAATTGGATAGAAAATTAGTATTCACTGAAATGGGTTTTTATTTTAAAATAATGAGTAAATTTTCGGAAAAATCAGTATCCAATTTTCATTTTGACGGACTTTCTTCATTTCCAGAACATGAAGAAGTAAAAATCTATTCCAAAGAAAAAAAAAATAAAAAGAAACTTCTTATTTGATGCAATTCGGACTAATCCTTTCAATGATAAAACAATTTTTAATAGAAAGATGGACTAATGACTTTGGGAACCTCTTTAGAACCTTTTTCTGCAGGCACAATCCACCTTTAGTCTACGTCCTTTGGGAATGGGTATACCCTTGGCTCCATGCTCGTTGCAAACCTAGGACCTTTGTTTGTATATCTTTATGTGTCCTTATGTGCTTACTTGTGTTTGTTGCATCCATATAGCATCATGTTGCATTAGGTTTCATGGGATTCCTAGTTTATTTATAAACATTACAAAAACCAATAAGGGTTACAAAAGAAAAATATTTTGAAATATTCTTTTAAGAGTCCTAACTTGGATGACCTAAGGAAGTAGGAGTTCAGATTGAAGAAAACTCAAAGGACAAATACAAGAGGCTCCCTTATCATGGAGGATCATTGGAAGTTCACAAAGCTCTCATCAATATTGAAGGTCCGAGTAAACAAGGGATTCATTTCTCACCTTCCAACAAGAACAAAGGAAGAGATGGAGGATTTATTTTCCTCTATCAAACTAATCTTTAAACGTTGATCATGGACAAGCTTACCTTCAAGAAGATCCAAGTAAAAGAGAAAGTCAACAAGCGCGATGAAGGACTTCCTTAGGGCTTTATTAGCTTTTATTTAGCTATTATGTTAGGACTCTTATAAGAATATTCACTTGTAATCCATTATCAAAAAATAAATAATTTTACTTGGTATTCTGTAGCGTTTATAAGAACTCGAGTTCCATGAAACCTTTCATTTCTGCATTCTTGCATTAGCATTTAGCATTTTGCATATGCATGTGTCTCTCCTCTTCTGTGGCTCATCCGGTCTTTCTGTATTTGTCTAGAGGCTGATATCTCGACCGTCTGGCTAAGCTCGAAGTATTACTAAAGGATAGCAAAGAGAACAAAGGATATGGATTCTATGACTGGCTTCAGAGTCGTGACTAGTCCGTTATTTGATCTTCCCTCCGATGAAGATGTTCAACAAGTGGATGTCCCTACTCAACCTCAACCTTTGCAAGACAACCTGGTTGTTCAAGATTCCCAGCCTCTACAACCTGTACCTAATCTTCAGAATGTTCATACTAGATTTATAGCAATGGAAAAAGAATTTTGTGATCTCAAAGAACAATTGAAAATGATGAAAAGAGCTGATGCATCTGATCTTGATGCTCACGACTTATGTTTAGTTCCCAGTGTAACTATTCCTCCAAAATTCA